CCCTGATAAATGTTTTCTATTTCTTTCTTTACATACTTCAAGTGACAGGGAGCTCACTACCTATGCAGACATCCTATTCCACTGACCCTCTTTGTCAGCACACTGAACCACAATCTTTTTCTCTGGCTCCATATGTACAGCTTCCTTTCAACTTTTGCTCTCAGTGGCTCAATGAAGTTTCTTGGAAACCCACTTGATGTAGCAAGAAGGCCTGAATGGCCGGTCATTCCTCTCATCCTGCTGCTGGAAGAAGATCCTCCACTAGAGCAGGGCAGAGGCTGAGCATAAGCCGCAGAAAAAGAAGGAGAACAACACGAGGAGCTGTGGTTGCCCACGCCTGCCCCTGACCTTGGGTTTTAAGCTACTTTGGCTGCCGGAGTCCCCTGCCCTATCCCATCGCATCAGAAAATCCCGTTACCGTGCTGTTGCAGCCAGCAAAGCAGGCAGACAGGTAGGTGATGCCGTCCGCCCCGCACACTGGAGTGAAGGAATCGGTCTGGCATTCACAGTCATTATTGCAGGGCGAGTAGGGGTCCAGGGCCGAGCCAGGTGCCGAGCTGGAAAAGACAGGAAAAGTGGAAGCCTTACAAACCGGTCAATCTGTGATCAGACACCCCGGTGCCAGCCCCCTGTCCTCGTCTGTGACGAGTCACGTGGCACCCTGCTCACGGAATTCTTAACCTGCTACTCCCTCCCTTTTTCCTCTCCCAACCCAGCCCTCCCTGTCCCGCAAGCACCCACCCAGGGCCACTGCTGAGAGCCACGTGGGCTGTGCGTTGCACAGTGGTGCCAGCAGGGGGGGCTGGCGAGGTGGGAGCCAAGTCCGCTCCAGCTCCTCTCATGAAGTCAGGGGGAAGATGCCCCTTTTACCACTGGCAGCAGCTGGGGCCCAGCTCAGGGCCACCTCCTCCATGATGCCTCCCGATTGCCGCGGCCTCAGCCCATCCCCCTTCCCAGGACCAACCGCTAAACCCCCACAGCTGAACATTCCACTTCTTCCCTGTCTGGTCCGCTCCTTGTCGCTGTGTTTTATCCCTCCCTGGCAGACAGAAAGCCACCTGATACTACACTGCTTCAACTAGATCAGCTTCAACGATTATTGTCTGTCTGACTGATTCAACGTCCTGAGAAAAATAACCCTGAGACGTTTTAAATTTTCCTTTGCGTCACTAAAGGCGCAGTTACCGAGAGCAGGCAAATTGAAAAAAGACAAAAGGGTGGAGTGGGCGTCTCTTAGCCGTGAGAGAGGAGGCGTCGTTTCTTTAGCCTGATTATTTTCCGCTACGTCTCCTAAGGCTCAGAGCACTTCGTAATAATAAAGATGACGACGGTGACACCTGACAATTTATGTGTCATGTAAAGGATCGCGTGCATTATTTCATTTATTCTTAGCATAACCCCACGGGCTTTAGGGAGAAGAAAACTGAAGCTCAGCCAAGTTGGCGGCTCATCCCAACGTACATGACTCACAAGTGGGAGAGGAAGCGTTAGAACTGGGGCAGCCTACTGCGGGCCTACACGTGTTTGCTTATTCTTTTTTTATGAAAGAATAATGTCAATACAGTAAGACTCTGCGCCCAGCCGCTGTGGTTTTCTACGTGAGAGCGGAGCGACCCACCACTGGAGCAGCTGCGAGGCCGGCACGTGCAGACCGGGAGGCCCCATGTCTGGACAGGGAGGGAAGGGGCAAGGTGGGGTGGGGATGAGAACAGGCGACCTCGTAGTGGTCGGGAAGGGGAAGGAGGGACGCAGGGTTCCCGGACTGTGCACGCACACGGGGAAAGCTGCCTCTGCTCCGTTCGCCCATTCTGCCTGCTCACTCTTGCCAGGGGGCAGATAAGCCCCGGCTCTAGTGCCATCTTCTGGCGTAACTACAGAAGCAGGCCTGGTGGCCTGCCTGGAGGAATAGTCTGGCTGTGGAGGAAGAGGAACAGGTAACCTGTAGGCCAGCCATGCTGCAGCCTCAGTGCTCCAGGATTCCCAAGGCAGCCTCAGAGTCCCATGTGGAAAAGGGGACAGCTATTGACACTGGATACATAAGGTTCTCCATAATTCCCTCTAAGGGCAATTCTGATTAGACTCTGGGATGACAACTAGGAAAAAAGAAAAGTAGTCCCACAAGAGCTAAGTTCCTTCCCTTCCTCTCTTACCTTCTCCTTTTTTTTTCCTTCCCTCTCTCCTGCCTACACTTAAAAATATCTACCATGGGCCAGACCCTGTAATTATTACGTGAGCCTCATGACAGCTTCTAATAGTTAAAGGAATTGTTGAAATCGATTCTGTCTTTCATTTTAAGCTAAATTTTAAAATATGCTTTATTCTGATTTCTCTCTTCACATCTTCCTTAAAGCCAAATGCCAAAAATAGTGACGTGAGTACTCTGGGGAGTGAACGATTGATTGCTCTTCTCCCCAGGGCTGCCCGGGGCAGTCTGTCCTCCCAGCCCGGAGGCTCATATGGATCCTCCCACTCGGGCGGTAAGATGCAGAGGTGTCCTCACCTCCTCTGCTCAGGGTCACCAGGGACAGAGCTGGCTCCATCAACCTCCCGCGGGCATAGGGAGCCGGCGTGGGCGGCAGCAGGCACTTCGGGTACTTACTTGTTTCCGTAGGGAACAGTAACCCCAGCCACGGGGCCCGTGTCACAGCCCAGGAAGAGGAAGGAGACGTAGCAAGCCGTGGACACCAGGTTGACGAGCATGGCCATCCGAATGGCCCCCAGGGCAGACAGGCTGAGCTTCTTCACCAGGAGCCCGCCCAGGAAGATCCCCAGACAGGCACACGGGATCGCGGTCATCCCTGGGGGGGAAGCAGAGGCAGGACCATGAACGGGGCAGGAGGGGCCGATCCACACAGCCGGCCGAGCGCCGTGAGTTCCCTGTGACCCCACTGTGGCGTCACTGCCTCCGAGGGACCCCAGAGTCTTTATGAAGGGCCTGGTTTCTGCCCTCAAGGAGCTCATAGAACACTCGGGGAGATGACTGGAAGAAACTCAGTTATTATGAGCGTAAGGGCAGGCACCTGTCCCAGTAAGTGGGGCACCGCCATGAGAAACACACACAAGCTGAGGTGGGGACGACAAAGAGACAAAGCCAGACAGACTGGGAGCCCAGGCATGCGTGTTGGGACAGTAAACGCCATGGGGCAGTCACGTGACCTCTGCACAGTTTTGAGGAGATCCTGGAAGGGCCACAAGGTCATTTGGGGGTTTCCTTCCCCTCTTCTAACGAGGCAAGGAGGGAGGGCTTCGTGGAGGGTCTGGAGGCTGTTTAGCCCAAAGGTCAC